CTGGTGTAACTTGTTAATATTATATGAAATGCTAAGAGGGGACATTTTTATCTACCATCAAATACTATGTACAATATTATTTCTTAACTCAAAATAAAAAAAAATAAACAGTCAATTGGCAATATCTCTTGATGAGTGGACGGAGTGATTGCTGGAGGGTTTGTCTTTCTGAAACTGTACTGTTGAGATGCTGAAAATAACATCAATCAGCTAAGTGACAGATTTTATATATATATATATATATATATAATGGTGCGATGGATAGTGTCGCCATTCTATATTTTTAATTTGGCGTATGGTGATTACAAAGGTGTTTGGAGTGATTACTAGTGATGGTGACATTATACATCCATTCATCTTCCCACAGAGCCTCACTCAACATGGAGGCCTACATCAAGTGCCTTGAAGAGGTAGTGCTACCTTGGGTCAAGAGGTTGGCTGCTAGAAGACCCTATATCTGACAACAGGACTCTGCACCATGCCACACAAGCAGGAGAACCTACTCATGGCTGTCAAACAATTTCTGCAACCACATCACCCCTTACATCTGGCTATTATGTGTGGGGCATATTTAAGCGAGAGGCCAACAAAACTCCTTGTGACATCATAGATGAACTGAAGGCAAGGATTATGGCAGCATTCACCAACTTTTACAAGGAGGCCATCCTGATGAGTTACAGGACATTCCGAAGTCATGTGGAGGCTGTGGTTGAAGCCAATGGCGATTTTATTGAATATATTTACTTTAGTGTAATTTTGGTAAATATATCTGTTAAAATGAGATGTCAATGTTATTTTCATTTTTACATAATTTAGTCAATAATTTATCCATCACACCCTTTGTGTGTGTGTGTGTGTGTATATATATATATATATATATATATAATATATATAACAGCTTTCATTGAATAATATAGACATGTCTATATTATTCCATGAAGCACGTTTGAATGAAGATATGCTGCCTAAATACATGCACACATATATGAGTCTCCCTTGACAGAAAAAGAGAATACAGGTTTGTTTCCTGTCAATAGGCACTACTTCATCTTATGGCTGGTTCCACTTCATTTCACTGTTTAAAATTGTTGGGGCCAGAAGTAAAGACACAAAGAGAAGAATTGCGTTAACAAATATATGAACAGAAAAACAGTAATACAATCATATACAAATGAGCAAGAATGTTAAGTCCATCTGTCAGAGTTGACTGCTGAAAACTACACTCTAAAACCAATGTCTGTTTTTATTTGTAACTTGGGAGAGTCCATCTGTGTATGGGTAATTTACCATAACAAAAATAAATAGGAATATTTCTCAAAGCAAGTGTAATCAAGGCCAGAAAATAAAATAAAAAGTTCTGGTTTTTTGGGGGGTTTTTTAAAAATAAATTTAAAAAAATAGATTAAAAAGTTCTGTTTTTAAAAAAAAAAAAAATATAAAAATAAAAACGGAGCAACTACTCAAATACAGGTATCCACTATTGTTTGAAATAATAAAAATATCTTGGGTTAAAAAATAAAATACATTACATCTATTATAAAATACATCTTTAGAAATTGCTTTGTTTATGTTTTGGATATGAAACTAAGCAGATATGCCTTTCAAGTGAACTTTAAAGGCCAATAGAACTTTGTTTGATTGTGAAGCTCTTTGTAGCTGAGCTGTTAGAGCATACTAGATCAGACAATGTTTTCTCCTGCAAAGAATGATACAGGTTTGGATCTTTCCAGAGGGCAAATTTTCTTTAATAAACATTCTTGAATGTGAAGGCTGGTTGGAAAAATAAATACTATTTAAAATAAGAAAAAACAAAACAAAACAGTGTCTACTCAAGTATAAGTATCCACTAAAAATGTTTGAAGTAATATATATATATATATATATATATATATATATATAAGGCAGGAGCAAAACTTTTTATGCCAATGCGTTTCATTCCCTGAGGAACTTTATCAAGGCAAGTGTAGAAATTTTATTAAAATATTGTTGAATTTAAAAATTTTGAATTAGAGGATGCTCTAAAATATTCTAAAAGTATTTGTGTTAGGAAAAGATAAACTGCTAAGTGACATAATTTTTCATCCAATTAAACAAATGAATTAATGCTGTTGCTATTGATTTTCTTTTTTTGATGTAATTAATATTTATTTACAATCATACAAAGGTGTGCTGAAAAGTTCTTGACCTGATCAAGAAGCAAAAAAAAAAATCTGATGTTTTTGGGAAAATGTGTAGGGCTGAAAACTTTTCAATACTACTTCATATTTCACACCTATTTGAGCAAAAAAAAAAAAAAATTAACTTTTGAAAGGGTGCAGGAACTTACAATATTAAGTTCCTGCACCCTTTGATCTTCCTTGAACATCTGTTTTATTCATCCAGTTCAAGAAAAGGTGACAGGTTAAATGTACAGATCAGGAGATGATAGTGCTAAAATCTTAAAGGCAATGGCACCATATGTGACAGGCATGATGGGAAACACATACTCTCCCAGAGTAGGGTTTAACACACATTCAAGGAAAGCCCAAAGATGCAGTGATCAAAACATTTTCTTCTAAAGGTGGAAATTAGTTCACGCTCATCAGAATACTATGATTAAAATACTTTATTTAAAACAAAGATTTTCAAGAAAGGAAAAAAAAAATTTCTATTGGCTTGCACATAGGAGAAAAAAGCCATCATAAATGAAATACACTCTCTGGCAATAACAAGTGCATTAGTTTTGTTTTATACATTTCTCATCCCTTAACTATTGAAAAATGTTAGAGAAATAATAAACCAGGTCTTTTAAAGAATTTTAACTGGAGAATGTATCTCAACACACACACACAAGCAAGATTAAACTTAACTGATTAGCTTTGCTTTTCTTCCCCCCCACCTCAGAAAAATTTTAAGATTGTATCTACTCTCTTTGGAAACCACAAACTCTAGATTGATTGAAAAGTTATTCTTTGTTCAGAGAATGGTGGACCAAACTGTAAACGTGTTATACAAAACGATATATTTGACCCATAATAATTGTTACATTTACTGTATGAAATCTATATGTAAATGTAGCAACTAATATGGGACAGAGGTAGTATATTTTATTGGCTTTAAAAAAATTTTTATTGTTAGTTAAATACCTTGGAAACCATCTTTGTCATTATTTAAAATGGATTTTCTTTTATAAAAGAAATTTTCAAGAAATTAAAACTATGCAAGATTTTCCAAAAATCCATAATCAATAAAACGTACTGGACCAGAACCTTTTAATTAATTCCAATCAATCTGATCTAGGATATGCATGTATTATATTTTTGCTGCAAAGATCATTTCTGTAATCAAAATAAAATGGTTTTGTGTCCTTTTTATTTTTTTGTAGCTGCTTCTTAGTTCTAAGTGTTAATGCTTATATTTTCTTTTTTGATTTCAATTTTTAACACCGATTTTTGCTCTAGGGATGCTTTATATTATAATTTTTTTTTTTTTTTTTTCTACCTAAAAGTTAATATATGCACTGACCTCTCTTCACAATCAAACTACTAAATTCATTGCACTGATATGATTTGTTACCTTTGACAGGTCAACTCCTCACTTGCTGAAAAGGTATTTGTTTTTGCTAAATGTCTTGCTGCTAGTAATTTGGGGTTTCAAAATTAAACATAGTAGGCTGAAACTCTTCTTGTATGCCTTAGTTAGCAACAGCCAATGCACTGTGCTGGTAAAATTTGCGTGATGGAGTGAGAAAGAATGCGAGATCTTATGAACCATTTCAATATTGAATTAACAAGGAAAGCGAGAAAGCAAACATTAAGTTGTTAATTGATCATTTTGGAGATTGGGTTGTAATATTAGCTTTTAAAATTGATTTGTTAGATTGTGCTCTCTGTGTTGAACATAAAAATTGTGTAGTTTTTTTTTTTTTTTTTTTTTGTGTAAGTAATAACTGCTAATCATAAATGTGATTGTGGGGCTGGGTGAATAATTGAGCCTGGTGGCATAATTAAAAGTATGACTGAAAGAAACTTCTTGTTATTGTTTTGTTCCTTGTGTTTGTTGTGTTGCTTTGAATTGAAACTTATTTTTTTATTTGCATTTTTAACTATTTTTACATTTTAAAGATATTATACAAAAAAAAAAAAAAATTCAAAATATTAAAAAAAAAAAATCAACTAATCTTTTTTCTACTGGCTATAAGAGAGTGTGACTCTTCACAGCTTTCCTTTCCTTTTAAACTCTGTATTGTGATGATTTTTCTTTGGGAAATATAATGAAAGTTTTCCATTGTCGTCTTCAGTTTTTTTCAATTGTCTTTCTCCCAGACTAGTTACCAACCAAAACTAGAGAAGCTAGTCTACTTGCTGTTTGCTCATAACTGGTGAGAAAAGGGATTGATTCATACTGCTCCTAAGAGTAAAAGTTAACAAACTCTCAACCAGAATTAGAACTTTGCTCACAGGGTCACTTTCATCTCCTGTTATTGGTTCATCTGCCCTTTACAGTCAATACCAATTTTAATACAACAAAGTTGTCTATTTCTGGAACCTAAAATGTTTGTAGATAATTTTCTATAATATTTTTTATTTTATTTTATTTATTTTTTTGTTAATAACTTGACTGTTAATATCTAAAATTTGAACTGAAAATGTAATAAATACTGTTATGATGTTGACTCTTGATGATAGATCTTTCTTGCTTAACTATGAAAAATAAACCTTGTATAGTAACTTCTGTCCTATAATAGACGTTAGGTTTGCATATATCAAATTATAACAAAAATTCAGATTGATTTTCTTTTTTCTCTTTCTGACAAATTGTCTTTTCTCCTCACTAAATTTTTCTCATCTTCTTCCACTCTCAGTAAACCCTTGCATTTTGGTGTCATTATCACTTTGCCTTGGGGTGAAACAATTGTAAAAAAAAAAAAAAAAAAATTCACAAAAATAGTTTTTAATCCTTAATATAGCAAGTGCTGTTATCAATAACCTTATACCATTTATCAACAAGTGGCTTACATCCACATCATGTTGAAACACTGGTTCTCATACGATCACCAAAGTTAAGCAACATTGAGTATGTTCAGTACCTAGATGGGTAACCACTTGGGAATTCCTGATGCTTTAAGCTTTTATGTCAGATTGTTTAATGGATAATGGCTCAAAATTGTTAATTGGAGAGCCGAGTTCCAATTCCTGTTGGATTTTTTATATTCACTTAATGTGCCACTACCCTTGGGAAAGGTCTGAATCAATTTTTTTCTTCTCCAGCTATAGGTTAACTAAAGATTTGTAACACTAAACCATTATTATCTCAAAAAAAAAAAATTCTTACAATTCCCCAAAAATATTTTCTGTCTTTAAATAACCTGCAAAGTTGATGTATAAAATTCTTTAGGTTCTGACCCAAAATAAGAGATTAATTCATAGACTTCTCTTTTGAATTTAGTCTAAGCACATCCAAATGGCTTTGTAAACATTTAAACAGCCAATAGTTAGAAGGTGTGGTGTTTTAGGGGGATTTAGTGGATGAAGCATTTTTTCCCAGCTATGTTCTTCCAGCTCTTTGGTCATTTGTACAGTATGGGGTCATGTGATATGTTCAAGGATGTTCTCTCTTCTATTTGAACCAGGTGCTGTAACCTTGGATGTGTGGGTGAGGTAATGGATAACAACTTGGAATTGGAAGTCAGAGAGCCAAATTCAAATTCTAGTTGGGTTAGTTTTATTCACTTATGCAGAAATACCTTTGGGAAAGGTATGAATTCATCTCTTCTATCCCCCTAGCCATGGGTTAATTAGTAGGACATGTATCAGTAAATCATTACCTCCCCCACAACTTCTTACAATCTAGAAATATTTTCTGGCTTTAAATAAAATAAATAAATTTAAAACCTGCAAAAGAGTGATAATTTCTGTTGATGGCATTTTTTTCTTTCTTTATTTTTTCTCTCCAAAGCTGCTTTTAAATACCTTAATTACAAATTGGAGATACCAAAATCAAATGAGTACAAAAATTTAAATATCTAGGAAGTGTTTTAACAGAGGACACAAAGTGTAACACAGAAAACTGAAGGCACTGAAGATGCATTCCAAAAGCTAAGCAGTGTATTAAGAAACAGAAAAGTTTTGTTAGAAACAAAGAAGAGTACTGAACTGTTACATTATATCTCTCTCTCCTGTAGCAGTGAATGCTGGACAATCTTATCAGATGAAGAGACTTGAGGCAACAGAAATGTGGTTCTACAGAAGAATGCCGAGAATATCATGGACTGAACATGTGAGCAATGATGAAGTTTTAGAAAAAATGGAAACAAGGACACTTATACTTAACATCACTGAAATTTTGAGAGTACATAATGAGGAAAGAGGGCTTGGAAAATCTAATACTTACAGGGCAGATTGAAGGCAAGCAGGACAGACAAAAGCTATGCATAACATACTTAGTAAGATTGAGTAAATGGGTGGCAGAACAGAGTTTAAGAGAAATAACAAAAAGACAAAATTTATTAAGCACTACAAAAGGAAGAAAATTGAGGCAAGCCATGATCCTGAGGGAACATGGCACATAAAGAAGACAGTAAATTTTGGCTATGATTTTTTGATTATCAATTAACAGCTTGTAAAAAGTAATTCCCTGCATATCCCACCACAAACTTGAAAGAATCTTTCTTGGATGTAGTCCTACTCTTGACTGCTGAGCAAGCCTTTCGCCACAAATAAGGTACTGATGCCTCTACTTGGAGCTATGGGGAGTAATGGATAGCAACTCAAATTGAGGAATCAGAGAGCTGGGTTCAAATTCCAGTTCATTACATTCACTTATATGCTAATACCCTTGGAAAAGGCATGAATCCATCTCTTCTCAAAGCTATGGGCAAATAGCAGGTCCTATAGCCTTGGGTAGCAAGGCGAAGAGAAGAACAGCTCTGATTTCAAAACCTCCACCTATGGTTAGCCTCACTAACCTGCAATTGGCCAAGTGTGGTTAGTATGGCTACACCCCTGAAGACATGATCAAACTTGTGTTATAATCAGAACTAAACCTCTTTTTTTTTTTTTTTTTTTTTTTTTTTTTTTTTTTTTTTTTTTTTTTTTTTTTTTTTTTTTTTTTTTTTTTTTTTTCTTTTTTTTTTTTTTTTTTTTTTTTTTTTTTTTTTTTTTTTTTTTTTTTTTTTTTTTTTTTTTTTTCAATATCATAACGAAAATTATTTCCGTTCTGATTCATGTCCTCATCTTCTGACATTCTTCAAGAGTTTGTTGATACAGGTAACTTTCAGGGAATTTTGAACAAAGCCTTTTATTTAATCTTTGTTCTTTTTAGTACTGCTTGTGATTCACCCCCAGATGATGTCAGAAATTAGTTACATCAGTAAACTGATTTGAGAGTTGATTTCCTAGCCACCAAGTGCAAATCAGTGCCTCACAGGATGTCAGTAGTTGACCTTGACAGGTAAACACATGGTCGACCCAGCTGTGCCGAGGATGTGTGCACATGGGGAAAAATCATGACAGCTAGATGTATAAACACCCAGTCTAGATATTTGTCTCTTTACATCCATATAAACTTGGAGAAGGTCCTGGAGCCACACACCCAGATGATAACTGATGAAATTCAAATAGTTAAATAAACAATGTGATGTTATGGTGATTTTCTAAGTGTAGCTTAGATGTGGTACAAGGCCAAAAGTATGGGGCACCCAATGAGGATTGAGCTCACTCAGTCATAATTGTTCCAGTGAGACAAGCTTGCTACAATTACAACATGTCAAGGTGACCTCACAATGTAATGGTATGTGTGAGAGATTAAGCCTCTTGTTTTCATTGCAGCAAATGATATTTTTTATAATGCTAAAAAAAAGACTTGTGAAAATTTCATGGTTTTTCTTATGTAAATTTTCTGACAAGTCTTAATTCTTAACTCTTAAGTAAATGCTTGAATAAACTCACGGCGAGTTCTAAGACAACAAAATATCCACAGAAGTTCCCCAATTGCATTGTATGAGTCAAATATTTGGGCTTAACAACTTTAATAAAACATTGCAGTAACAATCATAAATATGTATGCTGGTCGTTATTTTAAGAAGTGGATAGGAATGAACAGATTTTTTAAAAAGCTTTAGAAATTCTAAGTTTATTTTCTCAGCAAAATCATCCAATAAAAATTAAATGTGAGATTGCAAAACAAACCAAATATTATAGCAAATAGGAAAAAAAAAAATTGCTTACTTGGTCCTTCATTCATTTTTTCTTCTTTCTATTGGTAAAATAATGAATCAGTGTGTTCTTTCTTCAACTATGGGCAAGATAGTAGGGTAGACCGGGCTCTCTAGCCTTAGTAGAGCAGTCAAGCTAGGAGAATGACCTCTCTGAATTCAAAACCATTGAGTAGGTAATAAGAAACTGCTATACGATATTTCTCAAGAATATTCATGACAATACACAATTTACAGATAGGAAGCTGTTGAGAGCCACGATTGCTTATGACCTGAAGAGACATGGCATTTGTGGAGGAAGAATATTTTCATTAGTTTACATGTTAGATTCAATGGTGGCATAACAGTTATTGATGGGTAAAATGGAATTAGCAAACACTTTAAGTGTCAGCCAAGACTGTTGCATTCATTTTTCACTAATTCTCTTGTTAAAGCCATGAATCAGTCTGTTCTGCTTTCGGCTATGGGTAAGATAGTAGGGTAGACTGGGCTCTCTAGCCTTAGTTGGGTAGCCAGGAGAAGGACAACTGTGAATTCATTACCCTAGAAGACAGCACGAAACCCTTTTACTATCTTTCCCAAAAATGTTCATTGCCATACAGAATTTAAAGAGATTAAAGGAAAGGGAGCTGTGGAGAGCTATGATCACATAAATTCTGAATGGATATGACACTTAATTGCCCAGCAAATAGAACAGACTAGATTCTTTAGTCTTGGCAGGGCCACAATTTAGGAGAAGGGCAACACTGAATTTAAAACTGTGGAAAAGGCAAAAGGAAAACACCATTGTTTTCCCAAGAAAAGATGACAGTGCAGTTTACAGATATTAAAGAAAAGGAAGATGTGGAGAGCCATGATTAATTATGGCCTGAAGACACATGGCACTTGAAGAGGAGGAATATCCACATGAGCTTATATGTTAGATTTTATGAAAACTGATTAGTTTTCAAGTCTCTATAACTATGTATGCAGCCTGTGTGGTGGTGACAGCATCAGTGGGCGGAGGGCTTCCTAGACTGAAGTCAGTAGCAAGGGTGGAAGGTTCCTCCTGAAGGAATCAATGACCACATGTTTATCAAGTTATCAATCTTCAAGTTGGACACCAGCTGTGATTATTACCTGGAGAGGGATGGACTCCACCAGGTCTGCTTGCCCAACTGCTATGCATTAATGAATACCACTCTGGCTTTCAACCCAGATATGTTAAGGGAACTGATTAGTTGCTCAGTTGCACAGCAACCCTATGACCACACCTTGTCATGGGACTGGTGATGATGATGAGCTAGTCCTTAATGCCATTTATATATGGAAATATATATATAGACATACACTTATTACCATATAAAATTTCTGTCTCTCTTACCATATTTGTAAACATATCTTCAAGTGTTATAAAAAGTTTTCTCAGTTGGATAAAATGTCTAATTTAAATTATTTCTAGATTTACAAAATCTTGGAATGGCAATTTTAAAATTCTTAAAGTCTGTATTTGATTTTTATGATGCAATCTTTAACAATGTCAACAAAATGGAAATCATGTTAAAAAAATGGAATTAGCTGTTAAGGGAAAAAAAGAAATATTGTTAAAATTAAGTACACTTCTTTTCTTTTTTCTTTCTTTTTTGTTCTGATTTAATCATTTAACTGTAAGCAAGGCAACAAGGCCACTAAGATTCAAGGGGTTACTGAGTGCTAGAGAATGAGAAAATCTACTACTAAGGAGAGAGGACAATAAAAGAATAAGATGGAAGATAACAATTGACATTACACTTCAATTTTTGAAGATCAAAGTTTACTGGGAAGCAAGAAACTGAAAGAGAGTTCCACAAGTGAGAAGTATGACAGAAGAAACTATTAACAGAGAACTTACAGTTACATCTAGCCATTTCAACTGTAAAAAGATGAGAC